CTGTCAAGACACCTCTAAGTATAAAGAATGTATTTTTAAGGGGAATTTGAAGTTTGATGGAGTCCACTGCAGAGACATTTTGAAGCCATGTGATTTTATGATGACTGCAGGAAATACGCCATCAAAAACCAAACAGAAGTGTTGACGACAAACTGTTAGGGAACTTAAAGTTAGGATGGTCTAATATTCAAAGGATAGAGCCTTTGCACAGTCCTTAAATACTCAGAGATTGTAACTGAGTCTTTTCAGAATGTCACATAACATTTTGCAGTTAACTGGTTCTAAGTTGTCCAAATGACAATTTAGATGTGAGCAGGCCCATCCGTTAGGCACTCAGAATCCACTCATTAGTGCAAGCCTGGACTGGATACCAAAAAGTTTGTCTCACGAATCCTCAAGATTAAACCACAGTCTCACGAACCCCCAACATAAATCGCAGGCTCATGAACCCTCAAGATAAACCACAGTAACACAGGCCCTGGTGTTTTCTTCTTCTTCAGTGGTGGAAAAGATAACTAGTCCCCCCTAGTGTCCTGCTACTGTAGGTGGCTGAAGGATGGCGACACTACAGGACGCACCCTCCCTGCACTGTGCATCAACTTTAAAGCGTAGCTCAGGAACCCAGAAACAAAGGAAACCTTCACAACCTTCCCAAGAGATGGAAGCACTTCCGAGACCTATGATGAGATGAAAAAACCCTTTCATTTCATTTCTAAGGCCCTTCCAGGTATGGTTTAAAAACCAAAGGTATCTGCATTAGCTCACATCAAAAAGTTAATCCACACCCCAGCACACTTCATTAGGCGAAGCAGGAGGGCCCACACTTGTCAGCAGCTACTGCTCACTCCACAGCAATCCCATCTTCCCTTTAAAACCCTCTCTGTCCTGCTAGGGAGATTTGATTCCTTTCCTCGTCACTCTCGAAAACCCACTAACCTCTAAATCTTGGGGACTTTTGCCTCTCTGTTGGAGTGAGTTTTCTTCCTGGCATGGAATTAACAGGGACAGGCTCGATAAATGTGTTCTCCACAAGCAATTTTCACTAAAGTAAAGTACTCTTGAACAATAAAGGTGGTACACTAAGAGATGCGTGAAATCTTAAAGCCGGCGTTTTTATTTCTTTTATTTTGATCCCTAGTGAGGACCAAGTGTGCCGGTGAGTAATGTCACCCATTTGTGAGAGATGGGAAAATAAACCACCACCACTTGTTCCTTTCTTAATTTAGAAGCTTTCCTTATCTTAAGTCTATCGAAGCTAACTCCTGAGGTGGGAAGAGAGGAGAGGTGAGGAGAAAAATTAACCTGAGGTGACCGCCTCCACGGAATGATAAGCAGTTCAGGTCTCCACACCTGTGTCAGAGAGAATAGGCATCTGCATATCAGGGAGGTGGACGCCCCCACCTGCCACCCCCTCCGTTCCTTCCCTTGAAGGAAGCAGGAGCCTGATCTCCCCCGACTCCCTCCTCTCTCTCTCTCTCTGGGCACTTACATAAGACCCTGTAAAACTTCCAGTGACATTCACGGAAAATGTAAGCTGCTATTTTGCTCCCTCAGGAGATCATTTTAATGGACTGAGTGACAAAATTCACGGATTCTGAATTCAGCAGAAACCTGCTCAACCGAGGTACATCAGCATAGGGACAAAAAAAAAAAAAAATCCATCCCCATTAAACAGGGTCACCCAAGGGATGGATTCAGTGTGCAAGAGACAATCTGTTCCCTCCGAAGTGACCCACTTAAAATCAGATTGTTCTGGGGGAAGCTCATAGGTTTAATAAATTTCAAACAGGCAAGGACAGGCTTGTACAACTGAGGTTCCTTAAGAGGAACATTTAAAAGAGGATAAGGCAATGAACTAAATAACTTGAGGATACACAAACTTTGGAGTCCTCACTCCAAAACTTCAAAAGTAGTGACATTTACAAGAATGTCTGGATAGCTGTACACTGATCACTCCTCACAAGCAGCTTTGCCTAATAGGAAGGACATGCTGGCTGGGTTCCCCCTCTACAGATAGCAATGCCAACCAACCACTCTGTCCTAAAGAGGGACTCGCAAGCTGTAGCTGCTCGCCCCCAAATTGCCCCGGACTGTCTGCAAGAAGAAACAAGAAAAGTTATTCACAGCATCACACCAGGAAAGGTAGTTGCGTACCGCCCAAGACGGGCCTCTCCAAACACGGCAGGCTCCGCAAACCACAGGTGCTCACCGCTAACAAGTGAGGCCGCGGGTGCGAGTATCGGTCACATGCACTCCTGGTGTTAACCAGAAACAACTCCCGGCTCGCTGCCTGCCAGCAGCCTGTGTGCCCAGAAGCGGAGCAGGCCCTGAGGGGGTCCTCGGGACGTCGGAGACTGAGGGCTTCCACCTCCAGCCTCTCCAGGGCTCCCGGCCAGGGCAGCAGAGGGTGTGCCCGGCCTCCCCGCCGGCATCCCGAGTACAGGGGGTACCAGCGACAGGTTCGGAGAACTTGTCCGGCGCTGCACACCACGGCGCCCCCGCGGCGACTCTCGCACTCCGGGGCTCTTACCTTAGCCGTGACTGCCGCCAGGCAGAGGGAGACGCGGAAGAACGGGGTGGCGCGGCGGCGCCGCCGCCTACGAGGCGCACGGGGTCCGGGTCAGGGTCCCGGCAGGCGCTGCCCTACTCGGAGCGGCGGTGCCAATCGCAGAGTTCGGGACTGCCCCCGGCTCCAAATGCCGCGGCGAGGGTCCGGGTCGCCCAAGCTGAGCACTGTCCCCTCTTCCTCTTCCTCCGGGGCCGCTGCCTGGAGCTGCTCCCGGCCCGGGGGACTCTTCCGAGCCAGGGGCGCCCCGCATGGGCAGGGGCCTGGGTCCGCCTCGGGTTGGGTCCAGGGAGCGGCCGCCGGGGCCGACTCCACCTCCCGCGCTCCCAGCCGATTCGTCCCTTCAGGGCAGGGCCTGCCCGCGAACGGCCCGGCGAGGCGAGAGCGGCCGCGCCCCCAGCTTCGGGCGCCCGGGCTCCAGCGCGGCGGCGGGGTAGGAACACACCGGCCGGGCCAGGCGCCGAGCGCGGCGGCGCGGGGGGGGGGCTGCAGCCGGCCGCGGCGCGCTCTCCCCCAGGGCCTGCGCCGCCCGCCAGCGGCTCCGCGGGAAGGAGGCGCCGGAGAGGGCCTCGCCCCGGCCTGGGGCGCGGGGCCGGGGGCGCGGGGCTAGGGGAGGCGCCGCGGGAAGGTCACGGGAGCGGAGGCGCGGCGAGCGGATCGCGGTGCGGTGGGTGCGGGGAGCCGAGGCGGGCGGCCCCCGCCGCCGGGAGCGCTCGCCGGCCTCGGCCGCCGCCGCCTCCGAGATGCGCCGGCTTCCCGGAGCGCCCGGCGCTCGGAGCTGGGCGGCCGCTGCAGCCGCCACGGGCAGCCGGGCGCCGCTGGCCGGAGCCGGCGCGCGATCCCCGCCTCCCGCGCCCGGTCAGGAGGGGGCTGCCGAGCTGGGGCCGACAGGGGCGGGCGCTGGGGTCCGGGCTTCGGGCTGGCCCCGCCGCCTCCGCGTGCCCAGAGCGCCGGACTCGCTCAGCAGCTGCAGTGACTGTGTGTCTGTGTCATGTCTGTGCAGCCGGGGGGGACCGCGAGCCGGGGCTGGGTTCCGAGCGGGGGCGGGGCCGGCGCCTTCCTTGGCGCCCGCCTTCGACCCCGTGACCGAGCGGCCGACCAATGGCAAGCTCCGCAGCCGCGCGGACCGAAAGTTCGCCCCCGCACAGGCTCCGCCCCCCGGCGAGACTCCGCCCCAGTGCTTCTTCAGCTAGCTGGCAGGCAGGCGGAAGCAACACCCGGAGCCGGGATCCCGGGCCGGGTCGGGATGAAAGGGTGCAAGCTGAGAGCTCCCCGCCCTTCTTCCCCCCCACCCCGGCCGCTCCCGGCCGCCTCGGGTTTGGCGTGCCTCGCGGAAAGAGGGGGAAGGGAAGCGGGACGGGCTCGCAGCTGCCGTGTTAGAGACGCTCACAGGCTTGCAGGACCATGCAGCCTGCTCCCCAAATTGCACAAAACACCCGTCGTGAGAAGTAGGAAGTTTCCCCGCCTCGGGTCGCCGCTTCTCTCAGAGGTGGGCATGGTGTGGGGCAGCTGGAGTCTGTGAGGAGCCCCGCTGAAGGGCTCTGACGGCATCTTTCTGGGCTCAGTTTCCAAGAATCCTGTCCAAGGCTTCCTGTTCCTCTGAGGAAACTACATTCTGTTTCCCCCACCCCAAACACACACCCCGTGCACGCACAACACGCCCCTCCCCTGCTGGTTTTATTCTCGCTCTTTCCCTCTTGGCATAAGAACCCGGCGCGCAACATCCCTTGAATGGACTTCCAGCCTCCCAGTTCTAGGAACGAGGGTGGGGTGCTGAGAGTCCTCCCAAGCCACAGGAGGAGTGGGCGAAAAGGGTCAGGGTACAAGGGCGGGGGTGTGAGAATGGATGGAAGGAGGATGCCCTCGAGAGAAGACCCAGAGGAGGCGAAAGCAGAGAGGCAGGGAGAGAAAGAGGACGCCGAGGGCTGCACAACTCCGACTCGGAGACCGGAGCTCCGGGCGCGCGATCCAGCTCCCGGGTTTTTCCCCAGCTCGGTCCCAGGGCTTCTGGGGTCCCCTTCCCCCCGGGTTTCTACCTCTCCCCAGCCGCGCGGGCCGCCGGGTCTCTGCCTCCCCTCTGCGCGCCTCTCCGCGCTCCAGGACTCTGGCGAGGCAGCGGGAAGCCCACCCTAGTTCTTGGAAGGGGCAGGGGAAGGATGGGCTGGTGAGGGGGCGCGCGGGAAAAGGCCGCCGAGCTCGGGCTGCCGAGCTGACCCCACTCCTCGAGGTCGGGCTGGGGGTGGGCAGGGGCTTCCGAGGCTCGGCCCCTGCTCCGCTCCGGACCTGGCTCCCGCCTGGGTAACCACACTCTCGGCCTTTGGCTTGACCGAGCTGGGACCCTTCTCCCATCCCCCTTCCCTCCAGCCTCTTGAAACAACGACCCCCACCAGCAGCAGCAGCGCCCGCTCTGCCCCGGCTCCGGGGCGCTGTTTACCTAATCTCAGCGGCTGACGGAGCCCAGCAGAATGCGAAAGGGAGGCAGCGGTGGCACAGCAGCGTCCCCGGCGAAGAAGTAAAAGACGTTTGCTTTGGAGCTTCGGGATAAGTTAACTGCGAGGCTGGGGTCCTGCTGTCTTATCTCTGCGGGGATAAGTCTCACCGTGCACGTTGCAGGCATAGCCGATCTGTTTTGATGCCATTACCGTATCGGAGAAGAACATTATATGAAAAACTATTACCTAATATTCTAGAGACCATTGAAGTGTCAAAGTTTAATGCCAAGTGTTTTAGCTCGAAGGCTGCTCAGTTCTTCCTCTGACGTGCAGCTCTGTTCTAGAACGCGCTGAAAACAAGGGGATCATTTTTATTTTTTTGCCGCCCGAATGTCCTTCCTTCCTACTCTCTTCCTCCTCTCTCACCCCCACCCCCGCCCCGGAACCGGGTAAAGTTTAAGCCAGAATTTGTACTTTCTTTTTACGTTTTGCTTTGCTTCACTTCATTAGTGGTGTAAAATGCATTGTTACAGCATATTAGCATATTAATAAAGATAACGTGACTGAGGAAAGGAAAAGAGACCTGAAATTTACAAGCGAAGGAGAAATAATTGAATAACATCAGCAACTAAAAGATAAGCTTGCGGGGAAAAAAATATCTCCATTATAATTACTCAAGTGTACATTCTCTAGATAGAATCTAAGAAAGAAAAATGTGACCATCGTGTGGGAGATAGCAATGTTCACGCTGGTCAGTAACGCATGTTGAAGACATAATGCCTTATTAGTGGATTTCACAAAATGTACTTGCATTAGTCAATAAGCACCTTAAATGTGGAAAAGCTTTGTTTTATCAAATAAAGGTTGCAAGTTCCTGCAGTCACTGGCATAGCTAATGCTCTAAATGATATTAATGTTGTCAGACTGAAATATGCCACATACTGAGCCCTCTGGTTAGTACATCAAGCCCCCACGTTTAAAGTATTACGTTGGAAAATTGTAAAGCACCTCAACTCCCCAGTCCAAGCAACTAAATATGTATATGAATATACATGGAAACCCTGAAGTAGGATGTAGTTACTAGGAATTATAGCCCTTTGACACAAACCAAGATATAAATGTCTTAAAAGGATTTCCTCTACGATATAGTATGAGAATGCAGAATAAAATATGTAAGGTGATATATCTGTTATTTCTAAAGAATGAGCACAGCTTTTGCTGAGAACCGAAAAATGAAAAAAATAAATTGAGCTATCTAAACCAACTGTTATCTATTTATCTGCACACAGTTATTGTACCTGTCACTGAAGAGATTCGGAAAGGTCTGATTTTTTTTTATTAGGGTCAAGGAGACCTTAATCCTAAGAAACCTGAGGTCTTAAAACAGCCACTAGGGGGCCCTAAAGGCATCTCAAAGAGGGAGCCAGAAAACACTTCGTTTTTCTGTGTACCTGATACAAGGAACCGGGGAATCTAAAGACAGGTTAAGAACACAGTGCACCGTAGTCCCAGCACTTTGGGAGGCTGAGGCGGGCGGATCACATGAGGTCAGAAGTTCGAGACCAGCCTGGCCAACATGGCGAAACCCTGACTCTACGAAAAATAGTAAAATTATCCAGGTGTGGTGGTAGGTACCTGTAATCCCAGCTACTCAGGAGGCTGAGGCAGGAGAATCGCTTGAACCCGGGAGACGGAGGTTGCAGTGAGCCGAGATCGCACCATTCCACTCAGCCTGGGCGACAAGAGCAAAACTCCATCTCAAAAATAATAATAATAATAATAATAATAATAATGCAAAGTTTGGAGGCAAATCTAGTTTTATGTAATACATGACCTGAGTCCAATTTTGACTCCTAAGTCAATCTAGTTTCTCAACTCTTTTCTCACCTCCAAGAAAGGAAATATTGTATCCTTGAGAGGAGGGTTACATAATACTCTCAACCGTCTTAAGGTCAGCACAATTCTGTTTGCCATTCCAAACAGGACGTTCTTTCAAAGATTTGAGGACTGTTTTCTGAATGTTTTGCACATTCTTCAAGAGCCAGATAACAAGACGACTGAATTCTCACAAAGAGGATATTTAAAAGATTTAGCAACCTGTACAGCAGGGCACCCACCTGCCAACTTATTTGAAGTCAAGCCAGCCACAGGGGCACTAGCATTAGAGCTGAGTCCTGAAGGCCTCTGCTAGGCCAGGCATGTATTCTTTAGTGCCGGGTTCTGGTGAAATGGTGGTGTTAATGTTGGGAGGAAGGAGTGGTTCCTGCAGCAGGCGTGAGGAGGCAGGGTATACTGGGAATGGCAGCCAGTGGTAGTGGAGGGGTGCTTACTCCAAGGGTAACTTAGCCAGTATGGAAGGATTGCAGTATCTTAATTAATGTTATATTTGTCAAAACAACTAAATGTTGGGTCTGATCCTACAGAAAGCTGCCTAAAATTTTTAACTAGCAATCAAATTTTCAGGGCTTCCGGATCCTTAGCAGTCACATAATATTTTTTCCACATCTTACCAGCAGGTAAAGTTAAGATGTCCTTTATGAGGGTCAAGAATCAAACAGCATTCAGATAGCACGGGTTTGAAAAAGCCTAGTTTTCCTTAAACCAATGCTAGATAAATATCTGCCAAAGATGCTGTGTCCCAACACACTTCAAGCAAAAATTTAAGCACCTGGCATGAAACATTGCTCTTTTATTTAGGCCAATAATCAAAAGACATTCCTGAGCAAAACAAATGCCTCCATCAGGGCTAAGCAAAGAAATCACTTGTTAGGTAAAGAACGAAAAAAACATTGCAAAAGCCACCGAATTAACACTAATGGAAGTGTGATTTGAACAAAATTTAAGTAAAAACAAAGCAAGTCCAGAATGGAGACATGAGATAGGGAATGGGGACTGTCTTTCTTTGTGGAATGAAAAATATTTTATGTTCACATCATCATGTTCATTAACAGGCAAGATACAGGTATTCTTAAAATAGCATTATTAACCTCCAGAAGACTTGTCCTGCAAAGCTGAGAGCCAGCTAATTAGAACAAATTTGGTTGTAGATAGAGAATCCCATTGTCTTTAGGAGAGAGGGTTTATTCGCTCGCCAGCTGTGAAAGTCCGTCGGAGTAGGACTTTGTCAGGTGTTGGCTCTCTGACCACCTTATGATAAAATGCTGAACTGGGGAGTCAAAGACCCTCTAGAGACAGAAAGGAAAAAAATCAGTGCTAAAGAGGTCAACTCAAAGGACAAAAGTTGCTTTTCTTCTCAAGGAAACGGGAGCTCAAGCTAGTGGGCCATAAGATCCTCAAGACAAAAATGAAAATGAAAAATGTAAACATTGGTAAAAGCACCAGAGTCCTGTAATGAAAGATGATGACATATACCTTTTGGAGCTTTTTAGTGAGAAGCCCTGTTTGAAGGGTGTGTTTTATCAGTTTCTGTTTTCTCCTCCCTCTGTTTAAGAGAGCTATGAGGCAGAACATCTCAAAGTTGACTGTGTAGCCAGATCACCTGGGGAATCTTTTTAAAATGCAGATCCCGGTTCTGTAGGTTTGGGGTGAGGCCTGAGACTCTGCTTTTCTTTCCTTTTTATTTATTTATTTATTTTTTTTGAGACAGAGTCTCGCTCTGTCACCCAGGGTGGGGTGCAGTCTCGGCTCACTGCAACCTCCGCCTCGCGGGTTCAAGAGATTCTCCTGCCTCAGCCTCCTGAGTAGCTGGGGTTACAGGCGACCGCCACCATGTCCAGCTAATTTTTGTATTTTTAGTTGAGACGGGGTTTCACCATATTGGCCAGGCTGATCTCGAACTCCTGACTTCAGGTGATCCGCCCGCCTCAGCCTCCCAAAGTGGTGAGATTACAGGTGTGAGCCACCATGCCTGGCGAGATTCTGCTTTTCTAAAAATCTGCCAGTCGTGGACCATGCTTTGAGTAGCAAGAATGTAGAAGACATGTGTTGGTTGTCGACAATATCCTTCCCTCTCTTTCCTCTTCCTAAGAGTATTTTCTTGGTTAGGATTCTTCAAAACACTGAGACAAGGACTTTGGGGCAAGCGTATTTGGAAGGTGATTCCAGGAAGCAGAGTGCTGCAATTTGGATATTTCCTGAAGTTCATATGTTGAAAAGTAATCACCAGTGTGATTGTATTAAGAGATAGAGCCTTTAGGCAGTGATTACATCATGAGGGCAGGGATTAGGGCCCTTATAAAAGGGCTTGAGGGAGTGGGTTTGTGTTCTTCCACTTTTCTGTCATGTGAGGATACAGCAGGAAGGCCCTTACCAGACACCTAACGCCAGTGCCATAATTTTGGACTTCCCACCCACCAAAAATGTAAAAAATAAATATTTGTTCTTTATAAATTACCAGTCTTAGATATTTTGTTATAGCAGCACAAATGGACTAAGAAAGAGTGAAGATGTGAGGAAACAAAATAGGTAAGAAAAGAAGGCTAAGAAAAGGTGAATTAACAAGTGATCAACATGTGCTCAGTTCTGAGAGGATGCTCAGAGAGACCGTGCAGAATAGCACTGCCCAAAAAAACTTTCTGTGCAATGGAATGACCTATCTGCACCGTCCAATATGGCAACCTCTAGCCACATGCAATTGTTGTGTACTTGAAATGAGGCCAGTGTGACTGAGGAACTGAATGTTTCATTTTATCTATTGTCAATTAATTTAAATTGTAATAACCACATGTGTTGGCTTATTGTGTTGGACACTACAAATGTGGAACATAAGAACCATCTCACTAGATCAAGAAACCTAAAGAAATATTTATCCATCAAACTCCATCATCTGTTGAGGGTGGTTCCTGGGAATTGATAATGCCTGAGACTTCACTTGTGCTTCCGTGGCCAGAGAATAACCTTAGCAGAGAGTTGCAGGTGCTTAAGGTCGGAAGTCTTTAGTGTATATGGAAACTGCCCATCAAAGGTGGAGGTGATCACCAAGGTGAGCCTAGGAGATATGAGCAAGGCATTGAGGGCATTTGCTAAAAGAATCCTGGTTTTATTTTGATTCTTATTCTCAGTTCCGGGAGCAGATCCTGAATAGCATAAACTAATCAATGTATTCCATACCACTGACCACTATCATTGGTTCAAAGCTGAGTAGGTAACCTAGGCTGGTCCAGTCAAGGTGAATCTCACAACTCTTATGTGTATGCTGGATCACTAAAAGTGTGTTTTTACCTTCTGGACGAATGTGATGTACAGATACAAAGCTTAGTATTTCTGCAGTCATTTTGCCATCACAGAGGATAAAGCTGACACTGAGGATAACAGAGCACAGAGACAGAAAACCCAACCCATATCAGTTAGCAATGCCTTGAGCTGCAAATAAGAGAAATACCCAGCTAACCTTAAATAATGATGATCTCACATAATGAGAAATCTCAAGGTAAGTCCAGGTTTGGTGCAACTGCTCAACATTTTCATCAAGGACTCAAGATCTTCTAGTCTTGATATTCTGCCTTCTCAGCATATTGGCATTCCATGTTTCCTCATGATCACAAGATGGCTGTGAGAGCTCCAGACATTGTGTTCTCAAACCAGCATCCAAACTGAGGCAGGATAGGTAGTCAAGTAAGTAACCATGTCCTCGGGATGCAGGAACTGTACTAATTGCACCATCAACACAGCATTCATACTGTAGTCAAGCCCACTCAAGCAAAGCTATCTCCCATTGGGAATTTCCCGTGTGCAAAATGCATGTGCATTTTTATTTTACCTGTCCTCAGACTGATCCTTTGCTCATTGTAATGATAAAAAAAAAAAAAGCACCCCTGGGTGGATATTTAAGATCCTAATGAGACATGCAACATATGAATAAGCATGTACAGCTACTGTGCATGGGCTCCTAGAGGACCACCCAGAACATGATTACTAGTAACACCTCTCCCCACCCCCTTATGAATAATCATATAAGACTCCAATAAAGTGAGTCTCCCTAGTGCCAGTCTTTGCTGTCTCATCCTTAGGATGAGAATCTTTTCTCAGGTTGTACCATCCTGAATCTTTTCTCAGGTTGTACCATCTACTTCGCACCTAGCTTTCAGAGTATACTTCCTCCTTTGCAATAAATTGCTATATGCTGCATCTCCTTTGCTGTGTGCCTCTTGTTTAAAGTATTTTAAACTAAGAAGACAAAAACTAAAACTAAAGTTTCACAACAGTCATCAACAGAAGCGGGGGGTGGGGGGTGGTAAAAAGCGTGTAGAAAGAGTCTTCCCTTTTATTAATAGA